TAATTAAATATTCAATTCAATTCAAGTTTTATTTGTATAGCGCCAATTCATAACAGAAGTTATCTCAGGACACTTTTCAAATAGAGCAGGTCTAGACAACTGAAGACTGGGAACACCCCACAAGAAGCCATGTCATGCAGTCTTAGTGTGGCTGCTTGCACTGGACATTGATAGTTCAGCATGAATGCATAACAGGCATCTATACAAAGCTAATGTGAGAGATTAATCTCTCTGTCGCCCTCTTCCCCTCTAGACTGTAAACTCATCAGCAGAGAAAGAGCCAAGTTGTGTTTCAGAGCCACACGATGCAAGCCCCACCACGGTATTTCATACAGAAAAAGCACATCATCCAGCTTTGAGTAAATTTATGGTTGAATAAGCACTGATTTGGCTGTGTTTGTCCTGATGTTTTTATCTACCTCAGATGCCATAGAGAAATACACCTTTGCAGACCTGAATCTGGGAAATGAACGGGTATGCTGACTGCAAAATGTTGTTTGTGAGGTTTTGATATGTGTTTTGTCTAGCACCTGTCTAGCACAGTGGAAATAGAAGGTATCAGTAATTATAGGTTACTATAATTAATATAATTATAGTAACCTATAATATAATCCGCTGTTATATTGATATAGAAATATTGATTATAGCCACCTAAAGGTAATTAGTAAATGTTAAAAACTATGGCCCAGGATGCTAGAGGTATGTCTGTTAGATGCAAATGCAATTAAGGCTACATTAATAACACAAGGTGCCACACAACAAAAAATTAAAATGGGAAAGGTTTGCATGACAAACCACAGATGATCCTCTGTGCAGTAAAAAATTGGTAAGGGTAAGATTATGAAAAGCTCAACATAGCTGGTATGGAGGTACCATGGCGGTTACGTTCACACATCCTGACATTCTACATGTCTGTTATCTGCTTCCTGTCTACTCACCTTTGCCTTCTGTTTACCTCTTTTTACTGTCTATGTGTAGATCATCAGTTCCTCCACACCCTGTGGAGATTTCTTCTTCCGTGGCTGTCGGACCTCAGAGTCTCAGCAAGTTGATGTGGCATCATCCAGGACATCATCCAGCAGCAAGAATCAGGGCCCCACTGAGAACAGAGCCTCTGCCATTGCCAACATTGTCAAGAAGTGTAATGAGCTGGACCTCAACATTATTGTGATCTGGAAGGTACACACTCCATGACAAAGACACATCAGAGAGTCAGAGAGACTTCCTTCTGATACAGGCGTTGTGGTGTAGCACAGAATAGGACTCAATGACTCATATTTCTCATTGATATTGCAAAACCAAATTTGTATTCTTACGTAAATGATAAATGATTAATTATAATATTAAAAATATTAAGAGTTTTGTTTTGGAGCAGCAGCAATCACCTTTTCATATTCACACCTGATCCATGACAACACCTTGAAATATTTTACATTCATCATTCTGTTCATAATTTACAGATGTTGGCAGTGTTCATGATCTGTGAGGAATTTATTATTTTAAGTAAAATCTTGGATTAAGTTCTAGGTCAGTGGAGAAAAGACAGTGTGTGACATTACAGAAATAGGGCCCCTGAAAATGTAATAACTAATAAAATTCTAAATGAACAGTCTATGCTTAAGTTTCCAGTCTGTGATGTTTGTGTCTGTACAGGCCTATGTGGTCGAGGATAACAAACAGCTGATCTTAGAGGGCCAGCTCCATGTGGCGCTGCAGACCATCGGCAAAGAGGCCAGTTCTCTGACTCCCAGAGAGGTACAGTATGCATGTATTTATGTGGACCATGATAGACTGATGGAGTAGGGAGTAGAGCGGGGCTCCTCTTGCTGCATGTAGAAGTGTCTCTCCCAAATTGCTCCCGATGCTGTTCCATGTGTGAATGAATTATTTGATGTTCAGATAAGCCTTTGCCATCAGTGTATGAATGTGTGGGTGAATGTGATGTGTAGCACTTTGAGTGGTCAGAATACTAGAAAAGTGCTATGTAAGTGCTGTCTATTTACCACTTACTTGGAATTCATGGCTAGACAAATGGTAATCTTGCCATTATCAAAATTTCAAACTTTACCTACCAGACACTAAAATCTTGTGACGTCAGTGCAAGTAACTTTGCGTATGTATGTGTTTGTTGCAGGAAACTCAGGAGATGGTGCTGCTCAAGTTTAAATCAGAGCTGCCTCCTCCAGTCGTCCTACCTCCTGCAGAGCTGTCCCAACTCATCAAAACCAACCTGCACTACCCTGAGACCTACACACATCCATTTGTCCAGGATAGGTGGGACACACACACATACACACACACTAACACACACCACATAACATCTGTTCTTGTGCAATGTGATAATAAATTGAAAAAAGCAGAGCTATCCCTGAAATGTCTCTCTGGAACACCTGATTTGGCCAACAATTGCCATAGACTTACAGTGGACATGACAGGACAATGGTCCGTCTGCTTAGGCAGGGGTCAATCATGCAGGTCAGCTGGTGGCATGGAGTATTTGCTGTTAAACCACTCCATATCCAATTTTTTAGGTCAGTTCAAGAGCAAAGTTAGCCATGCTGGCTGAGCTGGAAATTAGTTTTTGTAAAATAAAATGAAGATGCACAAAATATTACAACACATGAAATGATGCTATTAAAAACAGAAATATGTTTCAGGCAATTCAGGAAGAGTTTGTGCTAGGGGTGGAACGGTTTACAAAATGTACATTCCGCTTATATACATTTCTTTTATTTATTTATTTATTTTTTAATATAAAAATGGCCACATTTGCTAAAAATTGCTAAAATTCTGCATCCTCCACAACAATAGGGCTGCATATCTCTCGCTGTAAAGGTCCCTCGAAAGGGATGTTTCAATCAAGGCTCGGATCCTGATCGGATCCGAGCCTTTAAATATAGAGTATCTGCTGATACAGAGCCCTGATCCGATACTTTTAGATAATGCAAGGGCCCAGTGCAAAAGTACATTAAAGTTACTAAAATCAATCCAATGCTTGACAATTGAATAGCTCTGCATTGCATTAATGCATTGTTTATTTTGTTGTTGTTGTTTTTGTTACATAATAAAGTATAAAATAACAAACCCTTTGTAATCTTTTGGGCTTGTTGCTGTCTGGAAGGAGTTCCTCTCTCCAGTGTTTGTGGTGTCGCCGTACCCTTTACCTCAGTTACTTGAATTAACTGTAGTTGAGTGTTGATTCCCATCATCTCATCTTTTTTTAATATATTTTGTATTTTAATAAAGCTTTAAATGAAAACGCTTCTGAAAACAAATCTGCTTGCATTTTTGGTTTAAGGTAATAAATATAACCTCAGTAAACTCTCAGAAGAACTGATTACTGAAGCTGGTTTTCTCTCTGTCTGTAGTCTCTGTGTGGTGCCAGTTACTCTGACTCTGTCCAACTGTTCCTTGGCTCAAGTGGATGTCATCATTGACTTACGGCACAAAAGCACCGAGTAAGTTTTTAGTAGATGATTGCTGTATATGGAATACAGATAAATATATAAGAATATTAAAGTTAAATGTTTATTAAAATGTTCAGTAATTTAAGATATACATTGTCAATCAATTCTAGTTGACATTGCTGAGAGCTGCTTCTTCTCTCTTACTCTGTTCTGCTCGCCACAGTATTGTAATTTATCCAATAATCTGTACGCAGTAAAGGCCTGTTGCTGTTTGACAGACGTTAACCATAGGACTTGATTGGCAGTTAAATATAACTTTAACTGTCAATTTTCTGGGTTAAAGGGATCATATGTTCTAAACTCTCCATCCATCCATGCCTTTTTCAGTCCAGAGTCTATGGAGGTCCACAGCTCATTCACCTGGGTGGGTCAGACCCAGTACAAACTGCAGCTGAAACCTCAGGAGGTCCTGTGCCTGACTCTGCGAGCCTGTTTCCTCCAGGCTGGAGTCTACAACCTTAACACACCACAAGTCTTTGCCAAGCCAACTGGGCAGGGCGCCATTTGTGAGACGAGTCAGCAGACTGCTATTCCTGCTCTCATAATCATCAACAATGCCTGAGTGCAGCATCGTGGCCTGCAGACAAAAGGACCTGGACTCAGAAACCACTGAGCAGAGTATACACACATGATCGTACTTGTTCCTCTTGATTAATACTGGAAGTACAGATGTTTTGTACGAATTAGTAAAATAAAGAAGTTCGTTTAAAACAAACCGCTACAGTTTATAGATACCGATGAGCTGATGTTACAGATTAAGCAGTCAGAGAGTTTATGGACCACAGAACTATCTAGTTTCATCGGTCAACCATCAAAGAGTTTCAGTTGCACATTACTTTTTCTGTTCAAAGTTCTCTCATTAACACACAGATTTGCCCTCCTTCCATCCAGCCCCTCTGTACCTCTACTGTGTCCATCCACCTATCACCAGCATCTCAAACACCCACTTGTGTTTGGAACTTAACAACAAAAGCTAGATCATAAATAAATATAAAGGAATATCTTATAACTAGACCAGAATGTTTACTCTGATCTAAAGCCTTAAGGCTCAAAGTCAGAGAAAAACTTTATTTGTGTGTGGTGTGTGTCCATGTTGAGCCACACACCAGAGTTTGGTCCAGTTCAGCTGGACTGGCCTTTAGTTCCAGACTCTGTGGACTGACTTTGCATCTGACAACAACTTCAATCTGCAAATATACTGACTTCTTTAAGAACCAGATGTGTAAAATTCCTGAATGGACCGAGCAGCAGTTTTGAAAGTGATTTCTAATAAGAGTTGTTTACATCCTGGATATTGTACACACCACCACCCGGTCATCTTTTCATTGAGTCTACAGCTTCTCCTGAAGTCCTTAGCAAGAGGTTGATGACTCAACTCCCTCTTACTGCCCATTCTCTGTGTGATTTTCACTCTTTCAGTACACACTACCCAAGTTGTCTCATGTGCATGCAGTTGAGTTTAAAGTCTAACCTATCCATTCAGCATACCACCCTTACCTGTGTGTTTAACCTCACCATAATTTGATTAAGCTTGTATGCATTGACTTCACAGCTTTTCTGAAAATGATGTATTATATTTATATAACAAGTTGGATGTAAATAGAAAATAAAAATGTAACTAATAAAACTGTACGTATTGTGACATTTATAAGATATGGGGTATACTCCTGCCACATGTCGAGGTATTCTTGAGCAAGATACTGATCCTGAATTGCTCCCGATGCTGTGCATCGTGTGTGCAATGCGTTCAATGGCTTTGCCATCGCTGTGTAAATGTGTGTGAAAGTAGGCGAATGTGGCATGTAGTGAAAAAGCGCTTTGAGTGGTCGGAAGACTAGAAACAAGTATAGGTCCATTTACCATTTAGCATTACTATATTAATGTGGTATCTGAAGGTTTATAAATTCATATGACATTCTGTTAAAATATGCAGTATCCGTCAAAATATGCAGTGTCAGTAGGTTCATGAGTTCATATGACATTCTTCTTCCCTTGAATGTTTAGGTTAGGGGCCCCCTCGATGCCCCCTTGATCTCCCCTTTACATTAACATTCCAGCACATCTGTATGATGTTTCTTCCCAGTTCTTCTGAATAACAACCGACCTATATAAGCCCATGTTAGACGCATATAGAGAGAGTTATTAATTTTGGCTGGATGCTCTCCAAGCTCCCGGGTGCTTGATTTGATGCTGGACTTTTTTTGTAATAAACCTTTTTATACAATCAAGACGGTGTCAGCGGATATCTCTTCAATACATCTTCACATCATCGCTACTTAATATACAACAAGAATTTGGCGTCACGAACTCCGGACGTGCTGTGACCTGCTGCATCGCCGACAACTTCAGCGCGCCTACTCCCGCTCCAAGCCGGCAAATAGGGTGAGCATTTCTCACAAGATTGGGCGCTGGTTTGTTCGCTGAGGCTGTTGTGTGTGTGCTGTTTGGTCGCACCGTGAAGGACCTGTTGTGTGTGTGCCATGCTGTGTTGATGTTTTGGATGAGATTCCGTTCTAAATTTAGTTTTATTGCGTTGTGCACAACGCAAAAGGGGGGAGTGTAATAGGGAAGATAGAAAATAGGAAGTTAAAGTAAAGGGAAAGGAAGAGATGTAGAATAGCCTAATTAGTAATGAGAAGGTGAGTTAAAAAACTATGTGAGATTAACGGAGACTGGGCCCTCAACTCCTTAACGGTAAGACATGTGTAAATTAGACACTGCGTGAAAGTAGGCTTTAAGGAATGACGAACGGTGTCTGAAGCAGCCTCTCATTGAATATCTACACCTCAAGGTAGCAAAAATTTAGAAAAGAAAAAGATAAAGGAAAATGGGAAAAAGGAGCGGCGGAAGCATGCTTTAGGAACAATATGGATGAATTGATTTAGAGGATTTAGAGTTGAATGCTGTTTGTGTTTTTGTGATGGTGTTGAATTTGTTGTGTGTTTTGTGACCTTGCTCTGCATTTTTGTTTGCTGGATGATTAGTTTTCGTGTGTGTGTGTGGAGAGCTGTCTCTGCTGTGTTCCAGCTGTGTGTGAGAGACTGTGCATGGGTTGGTTTACGTGGTTTATGTTAACATGATAGATTTTATATTAGTCACACGGACTGAGGCTTGCTGATGACAGCGTGTGCAGCTCCTGAATCCAGTCTGATCAAGGCCAGTGCGGTTTTATCCACAAACTCTTAACAAACACCTGCATTCTGACATATGTGTGTATACTCATTTATAGTTATTATTGCTGATATACATTTAGTTTGCTTTCATTTATAGGTTATTATAAACACATTTCTCAATTTGGGGTTAATGGAGTGGATCCATCTGTTTGCGTATGCCTGAGATATTTCATGTTGTGGTCAAACAAGAGCGCTTGGCAAACGGACTGATCAATTTAATGTATTTGAATTAATATCAATGGAGGTTATGATTGACTTGGTTGAATACTGTTGAGAGTGTGCAAATTGGATTTTTTGTTTGTGCATGGTTTTGTTTTGATTAGAGTTTGCGTTGGAGATTCAGTATTGACGATTATTCTGATGAATTAAGGGTGATTGGTGATAATTGTTTTGCTGTGAATAGGACCACATTTGGTGATAGTTGACTCCTTGTGGTAGTGTGTGATCTTTTGAGTTTTTCCTGCAGGATTAAGATTTTCCTCTAAATTTGCAGAATATTTGTGGACATTTTATTTATAGACATTTGATAAGATTGGTTTTGTGTGTTTGGTCAATATTATTGTGGGTTTTTGGTGTTGTAGTTTTGCCTGTTCAACAAGTCTTTTGATTTCTCTGAAAGTTGACGGATTTCTTTCAATTTTTTCTTTATCGATGTGGTAAAATAGCCGCCTATAAACATTTGGTAAAATGTGAAAAAAAAAAAAAAGAGAGAGGGAAGGAAAGTAAGCTCAAATAGTGTGGTGGAAGTTTGATCAACATAAAGTAAAAACCAAAAAGATAAATTTGTCCTTTGTAAATATTTATTTTAAAGCCTTCTTGCGCAGAAGCGATCGACACCAGCCAAAGCAATAGTAAGCGGACTGCCGAGGAATTGATGAAGAGTGCCTTACTACCAGGATTTTTATATGCATAAGAACAAAGAGTCAATGACCATAAAGAATAAACAACCAAGGTGCAGGGTCAGCGTGACATGGTGTAGGCTGGAGTTAACTGGGTTCTGGTACATTTCAACAGGAAATAAAGTCAGTCATGCTGCCTTCAGAACAGTATAATACAGTAAAACACAGTTCATACAAAGGTTATTTTACTAGATGATAATTTTTCCTAAATACATCTACCATCTTTTGATCATTACCTGATCACTTAAAGTAGTAAGAGAAAAATAAAAAGATCTTGGGTTGTGACTGTCCAATAACATATTATAATGTTGTGATAATACATTAGTAAAAGAGTGACATATTAAAGTGTTGTATTAAATGTTGTAAAAAAAAAAAAAACAGTTAGAATATCATATTGCGATAACATTAGTAAGTAAAATAAACAATGCCGCTACAGGTATATAACTCACAGGTAATTAAACATCAGTGATATCAAAGTCGTTAAGATTTAAGATACCACATCATCAATCATCTCATAACAAAAATTAAGACCATAGGCATGCTCTGAGCCAACAAAGAAAAAGAGATACAAAATTAATGATATCAAAAGTTAATCTACGTTCATATACACAAGATTCTTCCCGTAACATCAAGCGCCATTGACGTCCGCCACGTATGGAGAGCAACAAAATCAGCAGCACAAACCTTCCTTCCCTGTGCATGAGGAGAACTGAGGGGTGGATGGGACTAACCATGTATGGTGGATTTGCCGAGCGAGCCAGATTATGCAGGAGGACGACATGTGTTGCTTAGCTGTAAGGTCGGTGTTAGGGATAAAATATTTCAATACAATAGAAGTGGCTGTATTATATCCAGAAAACCAAATGAGTGTTTTTATACTACTTTAACATAAGTCTTATGATGCCTCCACTCACAGAATAATTGTTTGCACATTAAGGGCGTGGTTTTGGTGTACACATATATTATTGTGGAGGAAGTTAACAGTCAGGAGAGCAGCACAGGGGTTCTTCCCTCCCCAGGTTGCTGGACCCCCTTCCGATTGGAAGACTGGAGCAGAGGACGGACATCGACATCGTATTAACCTGTACATCTCATTTCTGTTGAGTTGTAGTGGATCTGCGTGGTTCTCAGTTTAGTTACATTTGCCTCATTATTTGAATCCTTGAGGGTGTCTCCGAACCATAACACTGGAGATAACAATCAGTACAGTCAGTGTAAGGAGAAAACAAATTGTACCAGGCAGACCACAAAAAACCTGGGCGTCTGAAGGGAATGCTGGAGAAAATCCTTGCGATGGTGCCATCTTTTGACACATTAGTTAACCTCCTACAACACTTAATTATGCGTGACCTTTTTTGTAGCTTGAAGAATACTCGGGTTACTACCCTCCCTTTCTCTCCCCAGCCCCACAACAAAAATAAAGTGAGGTACAGTGGGTGTGAAAAGTGTTTGCCCCCTTCCCGTCCATTTCCTGTTCTTTGCCATGTTTGGTCCAGCACTTAAGTGTTTTCGGAAACCATCAAACCACACCCCTTTAACCAATAGTCCAAGGACAAAACAAGTAAACCCACAAAATGCAATTTGTAAATGAAGGTGTTTATTATTAAAGGATTGAAAACAAAATCCAAAACCCATCTGGCCCTGTGTGAAAAAGCCCCCGGCGCGCCCAACAATCACAAAGCGCAAATTACAATATCGTCAACGTTCAGAGAAATCCAAAAGACTTTGTTTACACACAGGCAAAAACTAACTAACACCAAAACCCCACATATAATATTGCACCAAAACACCACAAACAATCCTATCAAATTCTATAAGTAAATAAATGTCCACAAGATATTACTTGCAAACTTGTAGAGAAATTTAATCCTGCAAAAAACTCAAAAGATCAACACCACTACCAACAAGGGGAGCCAACTATCCACCAAATGTGGTCCTATTCAGCAGCAAAAAACATTATCACCCAACACCTTAATTCACAGAATAATCCTCAATTACTGAATCTCCAACGCAATCCTAATCCAAACCAACCATCGCACAAAAAAAACTCCATTTGCACCTCTCAACAGTAATTTCCAAAACCAAGTAATCATTCCATTAATTATCAAATACATTAAAATTGATCCAGTCGTTGCCAAGCCTTTGTTAAATGGACCACAACATGAAAATAGTCTCAGGCATACGCAAACAGATAGATGCACTCTATTAACCAAACCAAAATTGAGAATGTGTTTATAATAAACCTATAAATGAAGCAAACCTAAACGTAATTATCAGCAATAATAATTATAAATGAGTATACACACATATGTCAGAATGCAGGTGTTGTTAAGAAGTTGTGGATGAAACCGCACTGGCCTTGATCAGACTGGATTTCAGGAGCTGCAACCACGCATGTCAAAATCCAGCAAGCCCCTGCAGTCCAGTGTGAACTAATAATGAAAATCTATCATGTTAAACATAAACCAACGTAAAAACCCAACCCATGACAGTCCTCCTCACACAACGCTGGAATCAACAGCAGGGACAGCGCTCCACACCACCACACATC